CGAACGGTTCACAAACCACTTTTGGTCAAAATTGTACGGGATCGGCGCCGGGGCAGATCGCAAGAGTTGGGCACTGTCCAACTTTGCCGGCGGTCCCTTGCGATATTTTACCGTATGATTTTGTTACGACTGCACTGGTTCACACAATCGCAATGCGCCGGGAGAGGTTGCAAGAAGCCCACCGCCGGTGACTCCCGGCGCGTACCGGCGATATGTGAACCAACCCTAAGCTGTTGACCTTGCACTTGTGTTTATTTTGCCCGTACAAGAGGCTTGGAACCAGGGAGTCGTATAGACCCGGGAGGCGACACGCGCATCACTTGTGCACAACCATGATCGACTCAACGATTCAAAATATTACGACCTGCTCGGTGTGGGACAAGTCCGTACATAGGTCATAGCGCCCGGGAAATCCGTACATAGCGTCGTCTTCGTCCTTTCGCTGAACAATTGTGGTCAGACTTTCGATCTCCATTGCCGAAATACAGCCATCTGTGGCCATCGCTGAGGAGTTCACTAATAAAGGGTCTTGTTCACTGGCTTACTCACTGGCTTTGCACTGCCACTCGAACTCTGAGGCACTTTGACCACCTAACATGAGGTAATCCTTTCTTTACAAATTGCCTCAATATTTTCTCACCTTTAGGGCAATGAAGTAATTTTTTTCCTCGTGACTAACTTCGACCGACCAAGTTGCCCTGTCCCAGTGATCTACAATACTTATATTGCACATTTGTGAAATATTGGACCTATCCAGATAAACGAAATGACTTATATTCGAAATTACATTTTCCAAAGTTTTCCTTCACAAATAGTCCCAATTTGTTCTCACCTTTAGGGCAATGAAGTAATTTTTTTCCTCGTGACTAACTTCGACAGACCAAGTTGCCCTGTCCCAGTGATCTACAATACTTATATTGCATATTTGTGAAATATTGGACCTATCCAGATAAACGAAATGACTTTTATTCGAAATTACATTTTCCAAAGTTTTCCTTCACAAATAGTCCCAATTTCTTCTCACCTTTAGGGCAATGGAGTGAATTTTTCTCAGGACTAACATCGGCTAACAAAGTGGCGCTGTCCCAGTGATCTACAATACTTATAATCATTGCACATGTGAAATATTGGGAGTCACAGAGTGAGGAAATGGCCTAAATTGAAACTTGAACTGTTCTGCCAAGTTTTATGCAGTGAACGCAGGGCTGAGAGCCCGCAAGAGCCATCCCGGATGATCTTGTGCGCCACCAACCGAACCTTCGGTGAATGTTCACAAGGTTAGAAGCTCGCACAGATAACACACATTGGATGCTAATAGTAATACAATGCACTCAGGAATGTGTGCAAATACGACAGAATTAATTCCAAATAAAGTCAACAATAGCTGCCTCAACACAGTGCTATCAACCTTCCGTATTTTCCATATTTGTACGGAAAATCACTACTTCGTCCACGCTATGGATTTTGAGAAAAATGTACGGAAAATTGAACGGGATTGATCAGTATGTATAAGCATTGCAAGTGCAAGCTGAGCGATGAAAAGAAGAGAACCGAGTGGAAAGAAAACGCTGCAGTGGAGAGTCCTTAGAAAAGACTTAAAAAATATCAATAATATCGCTGCACGAGATCATCCTTATAAGTTATAACGTCAGCTGATCGTACTGTGGTTGATTCATACGGCGGTAAATACACACCTGCCTACACACGCTCTCTAAACTGAAAAGTTATTCTGGCACAGAGCTCTCCTTCCCGCCACCACCACCATCATCAGTTCGCGTCTGGCGCCTAGTCGATGCAGGGTGAGTGGTGTCCGACATAGCAGGCTGGTACATCAGGTAGCGTATGGCGCATAGCAGATGACACAGCAACAACATAGCTTGATTGCGACGTACCTTTCGTCCCGGCTGGACTCATCAGGCAATCTTCTTCTTAGATGTCTTCACAAGGAGCTTGACTCAGGAGAATGAAGTTGAAGACTCCACTGCAACTGCACTTATGGTTGGTTCATATGGTGGTAAATATACACCTGGCAATATGGGGGTAAATACACGCCTGCCCAGACACGCTCTCTAAACTGCAAAGTTATCCTGGCACAGAGCTCTCCTTCTCACCACCACCACCACCACCATCAGTTCGCGCCTGGCGCCTAGTCGATGCATGGTTAGCGGTATCCGACATAGCAGGCTGGCACATCAGGTAACGCATGGCACATAGAAGATGGCAACGACATAGCTTGATTGCGACGTACATTTCGTTCTCTCGGTTGTGCTGTAGCCTGAAAAAGGAAATAAGACAATGCATCCACATGACACAGACAAGTAATTACTGTTACAAATAATGCATACTGCTTGATATCAGAGAAAGAAAGTCAGTGGTCACACAAGTTTTTGGTCGTCCCTGAAACGAAGATCGTTCCAGGGGGGGGGGGGGGGGGGGAGCGAGCTAAAATCTCAGTCGACTGACGCTATGCATACACATGTACATGCATGCGATTTTCGTCGTCCATTCATTTCGGAGGGTGGAGAGGAGGTCCGAGTACGAAATGAATGTTTTTTTCAGGGATGACTAATCACTTTTGCGATGACCCCTTATTGCATCAATTTATCGTCTGAACTGCGCAATTGAGTCCCACTTTATTATGTTGGGTCCAGATTTCAAGACTCGTGAAGTTCGAGGCGAAAAGCAGGCCGATGAAGGGACGCCAGTAATTCAGTCTAGTCCGGTGTCATGGAGAGGGGCCGATGAACCGGCAACAAGAGAATTCAATACGCATGCTACTCTTCAGTTCATTGCTGGGGAAGACTACTCAAGGCCACGTCACTCCGGCAATTTAATGTACAAATCAGCAGCAACACTTGCAAACGTATTCCTACCAGCTGACCAGCAAGTTACCAGCCATCAGCTCTTCAAATAATTTCAACTTAACAAAGAGAGGAGATGGACAGATCGGAAAGTATCGTGGCAAGCTCAGGGCAACACACGTCCGGCCCTATGTAACAACAGTGGAAAGTGCGTGCCATGGTATATTTTCGAAGGCATAACAAGAACCAGCTAATGTGGACTGGGCGTCCATTTGCATCGTCCGATCAGCTGCTACAAGTGCCGTGAGCCAATGGCAAACACGTTTGACAGAGACTACTACCTCTACTGAATGCAACTTTGGCATGGCAGAGATCTACAAGCACGTTATCTTATCTATCAATAGAGTTGTATCCTCGTATGACTATGTGAAGTGTGAGGTCGTACTGTACTGCAGACGCGTCTACGACCTGGTTGGAAATGTACGCAACAGTTCCCACCCTCTTGACCAGAGATCGCACACACCCTAGGGTTTTGATGGGTTTTTACGACTCCCAGCTCTTGACTTTTGTTGGGTGTACGAGACGCACGCACAGTTTTCTTAGGGTGAGTACTTTTCATGTAGTACTGAATGCGGCAAGCAGGACTCGCCCATCCGCCCCTCCCCAAATGGATCTACTCGAATGGTTCCGGAGGTAGGGATGCTCTGGCGGGATTTTACGACATACACAAGCGCGCACACACGCACACAATATACACATGCACGCACACACATACACACGAACGCACGCTATGTCGCACGTCTTGGGCATGGCTTCGTGAATACAAATAATAATTTAATGTTATAATTTATAGGATCCAAATGTTAGAGCAGTTTTACAAAACCTACCGTTCAATACCGGATCATCTTGTGACAGCTTCCTTGCAACACCCATGACTTGACCCCACTTCGTCTTGACGTCGGGAAATCGTTCACACCGGAGTTGGGACACGACTCATTGAAATCCAGGCCTATCTGCAGCTGGGAGCAGGACAGAGCTGATGGACGTCAGCAGCGGCTGTAGAACAACCATAAACGAGTCTTCTTTCTCCGCAGTCAGGCGGGACAGCAGCTTTGCAACGCAAGCTTCTTGCCTTCTGTGGGTCTTTAGCGGCTGGGATTCGGAACGCTCTGTAGAAACCATTGAACAAGTACTGCACTCTATCAACCCACAAGTATTTCTTCCAATTCATGATTATTCGCAACTTTTTATGCAGTACGTGCACCAGATCAGAAGCCGCTAAGTAGCAAGGTTGAAAGTTTCAAGACAAATTGAAAAATATAATAACATAGAAAATTAGAATTCAAACCATACCTGTGGCCCAAGCCAATCATGACAGACTGAGCGTTCACGCGAAGAGAACGTAGATCTACGTCAGCTGAGGTTTCCTTAGGATCAGGAGGTGATTCTTGACCCGGATCTGGATCGCGATCAGCAGCACTCTCTGCCTCAATCACGATCATCAAATGCAACTAATTACTTGGAAAAGTAGTTCATTCTTCTTCTTCTTTTCGAGCTACGATTTCCCACGATCCTATCGATCCTGCACGAGTCCGTTCCTCAGGCCAAGGAGTGCACTCCCAAAGTCCCATGGCATAAGTACGCGGAGTAGTTGGTTTATAACTCAGGGCACGCACCGGGGATATCTGAGGGAAAAGTGGGAGAAAGTGCCGCGAGTCAATCATAGTCGGCCCGGAAGGCCTCGTGTCGCCTCCCGGGTCTATACGACTCCCTGCTTGGAACCAAAAAAAACGTGGCCCTTCATCCACTTTACGTGTATCACCCACGTAGAACTACGCGTTTCGTTACGTGGGAACTAAACCAGTTACCTCCTCTAGGTAGCGTAAGGTACGCGGTACCCTGCAATAGGTAGCGTATGGTACGCGGTACCCTGCAATAGTGCAGGCTACAACTATTACTTACAAGTAGGCGCTAGGCGCCTATGCCTGATCAAAAAAAAGAAAAGAAGAAAAAATGCTGACATGTCACTGCATGCATGTATGATGTAATGCATCAATCATGCACATACATGCATGACGAATCGTACTCGTAGTGAAACTTTCGGGGGATTTCCCAGTCAGTTCGAAACTTCAAGTCACACGACAAGTGTGAAAGACTTTCGAAGCTGGCTGAAAAAGCCGCCACTGCTTCTACTTGTATATCCTGCAAGGCCTTATTATTTGCATTTCCAGCCGATGTGAAGTAGTTGAGTTGTGTCTTGTGCGAGAGGGAGAGAGATAGGCATGGGGAGGATTGTCTTGTGTTGAGAGAAGACGACCAGTCCAGCTGACCTCTGTTGTAGACTCTCAGGCTGACATGGCATCGCGTGGTAAGTGCATTCGGTTACTCAACTCCGGCTGTCTAGTCTCAGCTGCTATGCGGCTGTATTCACTGTATTCAGGCCTCAGCTGTTCTGATAATCTACCCGCGCTGGTTCTGCTCTGCTTTGTTTCTAGGTCTTCGTCCAGCTAAGCGTCCCGCTGAACCTGCTAGAGGTGGAAAACCCATTTCTCTATCAGCCAATCACTTCGCTGTGGAGTCTTTGCCCAGCGATGATATTCATCACTATGATGTCAACATTTTACCTGAGCGCGTATCGAAGGCTGCCTACAGCGATATTGTTCAAGCGTTGATTGCCAGCAATGACCCACGTCTTGGTGGCATGAGGCCGGTATTTGATGGCAAAGCTAACATGTATTCCCGTCGTCGGTTTCCTTTTGAGAAAGAAAGGGTAAGAGAAAGGTCCAATTCATACTCGTGCTCGTACGCCCAACGCTTGTCCGTGGGAGTTGTATTTGTACGGGGTTGTACGGGATAGTCTTGACTTCTATATTTTTAGGCTGTGTTTACATGAGAAATTTCAACCCGGGTCGAGTTCAGCCCGGGTCGAGTTCAGCCCGGGTCGAGTTCAGCCCGGGTTGAAAGTCTGTACGATAGACAAAAGAGGTGAGCGTTTACATGAAGACAGTTGACCCGGGTCAAATACTGATATGCCGCCAAAAGTCCACTTCTACAGTCCTGTATGGTCACGTGAATCCGTTCGCACGAAATTTGCATCTGCAGTGCTGTTCAAACCTGGCGCGAGATACGCACAGAAGTACGTTGGTACGATTTTCTTGACCCGGGTTGATTTCAACCCTCCCCTTGGGGGGGGGGGGGGGGGTTGAAATCAACCCGGGGCGAAATTTCAACCCGGGTCAAGCGCAATGCGTCGTGTAAACGCGCCATTCACTTTGTGCACATGGCAGGTTGAAATCTGACCCGGGTCGAACTCAACCCGGGTTGAAACGCTTCATGTAAACACAGCCTTAGCCGTTGAGGTTTAACCCTTTGGAGTCCATGGTTCGATTTCAAAAGGAGGGTTGAAATCAACCCGGGGCGAAATTTCAACCCGGGTCAAGCGCAATGCGTCTTGTAAACGCGCCATTCACTTTGTGCACATGGCGGGTTGAAATCTGACCCGGGTCGAACTCAACCCGGGTTGAAACGCTTCATGTAAACACAGCCTTAGCCGGTGAGGTTTAATCAGGGAGTATTAAAGGCAGAATATGTTGTCGCAAGTGAAATCCGACACTTGGCATAAGGGACAGCGCGACACAGCTTTCGGCCGCTGCCGCGTACATACACGGATACAGTCTTACAACTAGCATTGTTTCAGCATGCATCCCGGCATTAAACTGCCCACAGTGCAGTCCACCACATCCAGTGCTGCGCTGTGTTCCATGCAGGGTGTACCATGTGTACCCCGCTGTGCACTGTAGCTGGGCAGAGTCGGGTCCACGATCATAACCGCGTACTGTGCACTAGCACTATACTTTCGGCAAGCTTGCAAGGCCGGCATGCACTACCTCACATGAAAAACTCATGCACGAGAAACAATCAAGAACACAGCACAAGTTGTGTTTCTCCAAGAGGAGACTAATATTTAATCAATACTTGATGTGTCCACCATCTTTGTGGATCACCTCCTCCGCTCGCCTTGCCATCGAGTTCGCAAACGGAGCAACATTGGCGGATTCCAGGGCATCCCATTCGGCATTCGGTGCTGCGCGCAATGTCCGTCATGACAGCTTCAGCAAACGTTTCTTGGTTCCAGGTTGGTGCAAAAGCCAAATTCCCCACGGTGCCAAAGATGCTGATGGCTCCCAGGGCATGCACTTTGGCTTGCCACCGCGGGGGAACCACTTGCAAATTCGCCCGTCTGGCCCGACAGCAAAGCAGGCCTCATCCGCAAAGACAATCCGCGCAAAATCGTCGTCGCGGTGCAACATTGACCACGTCGGGCGTATCTCCTTCACTGCCTCTGTCAAGGCTGATTTTCTGTAGGGCCTGCCGTACTTGTAGCCGATACGATTTTAAGAGAGAGGCGAACAGTTCTACTGCTGGTTAGCTCACCACTGGGTCTGTGTAGATCCAGGGCGTTGGCAATCTTTTCGCTGCTGCCATGCCTGCAGGTGAACAACGGGAACAGGATGAAGAATTGGAATGGAATCGTCTTTCTGACAGAACTACAGTAGCGCTTGTCACACATTTTGGTTGGAAACAATAGCCGCTGACACAGTAAATGAACCATAATTTTGCCGTGTGCACATCGTTATTCATTGATGTTTTGTGAATCCCAGAAGCAAATGCAAAAAAAAATGCTGTTTTCCAATCGTGTAATAACTAATCGTGATTTGCCCGAGTAACAATGACAATAACAATGACAATTGTGGTTTGCGATGAACTGCACGAAATCCATGCCAACAGGTGCATACCTGCCAAGTACTGAGAGTGCTTTTTCTGGATCACCATGGCAAAATCGCGGGATTTGCCTTGGTTTTTCGGAATATGTCGTATTTTTACCCAAAAAATCCTTTTTCAACTTTTGATGGCACCAACATTTCGATAATAGATGATTGATGGTGATCATCGGATCACACTCTCTGCTAATGGCATTAACTGGTGGCCATCTTCTTCTCTGCTAATGGCATTGACTGGTGGCCATCTTCTTCTCTGCTTGACTGACGGCTTGATTGTTTACTCCGTTTGTTGTGTTCAGACAACGTTTGAGGTTTCCTTCAGTAGCGGCGGTGCTAGTCCAAGAACATATCAGGTAAGACATTAGAACTACAGTCAGACATGCTCGTTTAACCGCACACATCCGTTTTCCACAACAAATATCCGGATAGGCGAGGGAACTGGATAATCGAACACACATATTGTATGTATGCATGGCGCATATTAAAAAAATTCACGGTTTCATGACATATAATTATGCTGTAAA